GCAACTAGTTGCAGCTTATAAAATTTTGGAGTTGCAACGTGTTGCAACAGGTGACAAATAAGTGTCACGTACTTGCTGCGCCATATCTAATGATGAGTAACGTTACTTAAAAATAGTTATAAGATAAATTTGAAATAAGTATAACATCAAAAAATGATAAGTGTAATACTAATTTAATCTAAGCAATACAATTAAAATTAAAGTAACATTAGCGTTATATTAATTAATGTTAAATGAAATAAAATGGATTTAGATCATGTTATAATAAAATAAATAATATGATATTAAAAAGAATTAATTGGTGTTTTTGATAAATTATATGTAAATTAGATAAATTAAATAATTAAAAATAGAATTATAAATAGAAAAATATAAAAGTATAAATGATTATCAAAATTATGTCACATGATATTTTATATGTGATCAAAAATATCAAATAGTAACAGTATATTTACAAGCAAAATATTACTAATAAAGATGACGTGACAATTTTTGTAATGTAATGACAAATAAAGCATAACCTAGTTATAACTAGTTGCAGCTTATAAAATTTTGAAGTTACAATGTGTTGCAAAAAATGACAAATAAGCGTCACATACTTGCTGTACCATCTCTAATTACTAGTAAGAGCTTTATTATTTATTAAATAAAAGGATTAGAATATGAGAATTTCTAGTAATAAGAGACTCTTCTTTTATACATTTTCAATCTTTTATACAATTTACATAACTAATGACTATTCTAAATTATATCATGATTTACATACAATACTAACAATACAAAAGAAGTATAAACACCAAAAAATAACACAAATTCATTAACAAGAAAATACAAAAGAAAATTAGTTATAATTTTAGTAGTTAAAAATAAAAAACAAGAGTTTGAATAAAAAGAAGTATTATATAGAAAGAAAATAATAATACAAATATAATTATAAATAATTATAACAAAGAAATTAAAAGGTAAAAAGAATAACTGTAATAAGAGTGAAAAAGAAAATAAATATAAGAATAATTGGTTAAAAATAATAAAATAAAAAGATAAAAATAAGAGTAATAGGGATATAGATGAGATAAATTAATTATAAAATATAAGTTTTATAGTAAAAAATACAAAAATAAATAAATTTAGTGCAACAATAAAAGAAAATAAAACAAAAAGTGTGATTATTATTTAGATATTATAATTTAGATATCAAAAAGATAATGATATATACTAAATATAATCGTATAATAGGATACAATGTAAAAATAAAAAAACAAATTAATTTGATCATTATTGAGTTACATAATGTTATATTAATATTTTGTATAATATATCTTAATTTTTATTGATCAATAATTAAGTAATTATGAAATTTTTGATGAAAATAATAACAATAATCTAAAATACAAAATGCATGTTATATTGACACATATCTTAGTGATTTTCAAGTGACGATACAAATGTAACCTATATAGTACCTAATATATAGATTATAAATATTTCATCTATGTGTTGTAAAAAGCAAAATGTACATTACTCAAATATAAGGATGCTTGCCTAAATTCTTTCAGAAAAATATCGTCATAATTTCGACAGGTTACACACTAATTGTTAATTAGAATTTTGACATAATTTCAGTTACGACGGGTTTCAAAATTCGTCAGAATTTTGACAGGTTATTTACTAATAGTTTATTATAATTTCGACAGAATTTAGACAGTCACTAAGGGATTTCGGCAAGCAACCTTACTCAAGTGTATCATAAAAATTGAATTATAATACATATTTGAAACTATAGTAATCTAATATAAGTTATTTTTTGTTTATATAAACAAAAAATAATACTTTGAATAATCATTACAAATAATCATTTCAATCAATTATCTCAAGTGCTCCAAATGATTATTGCAAATGATTATTCCAATTGATTATTTCAAACACTCCAAATAATCATTACAAATGATTATTTCATAATTATCAAATACTTATAAATATAATATATATTTTAGCTAGAAAAATAAGAAGTTTTAAAGAGATAAGTTTGAAGTAATTTTTAGTTTTATCTTTTTAATAATTCTTCAAATAGCTTTTTATATAATCTCTCATCTTAATTGTGAAATTATTGTTATTATTTAATTTATAATCTCTCATCACTATTACAAAATTATATTTCTTATAATATTTATAATTAACCTTTCATCTACATTAGCGAAGTCAATAATATATAATTGAATTAATAAAAAGAAATTATATTTGACTTGTTTATAAATCAACTTTTAAAAAAACACAATTACCTTTGAATATTTCTGGTCTTATTCTAGCTAACCAACAAAATGAATATATGTTATCTATCTTTGGATACTTGTATTTTCTTTCACACTTGAAGCTCATTTGTAACACTAGTATGCCAAAGAGACCAATCGTTTTCGTTCATCTTGAATCCGTAAAAGGTCGAAGAAGTTACCCTATTTGTTACTAAATTACCACTCTTTGTAGAAGATCTTTTATGAATGTCATCTAGTATCTGCAAGCTTTCGGTCCTATACCTTGTTAGGATTTCATTTCTCCAGTTTCTCTCTGCCTCGTGAAACTCAACCTCGTAGTCCTCAAGCTCATTCAACCAAAGACTTTTCTTTTGAGGATCCATTCATGAGATTCATGGAGGGAGACGGTTTCATATTCTTGTTTAATAGCTGTTATTTCAGGATTCCAAAATGGTTTTGTTTTTCTCCGTACGTTTGTTTAAAAATATTCGCCATTAAAACGTGGCAGGGTTTTTCCCAATCTTCAAGAGTGTTTTGATATGAAAAGCACGATATTAGTTCCTCAGGTATTTCTCGGTCAGCAAACTCAAAGGTATGACTTTCATCGATCATATACAAGCATCATAAGGATTAAAAGAGTTATGCAAGTATTTCCGATTAACGTAATAGATTAAAAGTTCCAATGTTTAAACTTACTTTACTGTTTTAGCTTTGTAGCATTATTACAACAGCGGACCTGAACTCCCAGTGAAGCGTAATTGCAGATTTACGAGTGCCACAGAATTGGCAGCCCCTCTCCATTGCCGTAAGTTTGAGGAAATCTTGTTCTGTCATACCTGTCGGTGGAGGGAGCTCTGGATAACTGAGGAATTCAAACCGCGATGTACGCCAGATATCCTGGTTCTCGGAGGACATCAAATATATTCTGTATTGTTTGCATACGCTCGTCAATTTGAAGACGGTAGGTATTTGCAAATGTTTGCAAAGATTTCAAGAGGAATATCGGTTGCGAGGAAAGGACTTACGCGTGACGACGAACTAGAATTTGGAGTACCCTAGCCATGGCGAAAAAGTGTTCAAATCACGTGGTAACCAATAAGAATCGTTCCGCTGGTGACACAAACCAATAAAATGCGTAAATTTTTGATCAGCCCGGCAAAACAAATCCGACACAAGAGCAAAAAAAGTAAAAAATACAGGAAATATATGCCTAAATCTAGCTTGACAGACTAATAAACAATGTCGGGAAGGCAATTTTATATATGATCTTGACTGCAAACCTACCCCTAACCCTAACCTTAAATTAATCTTTGACAATAATCTCTATTATCATAGAATTTTTCCGGATATACCCGAATATCACATGATCTGAACACTTTCGCCATGGCTAGGGTACTCAGAATTTGATGCAAGTAGATTTAAGGTGTCCGCAATTGATGTTCTAATGGACTCCATTGCCTCCTTATCGTTCGGATAATCATCCATGGAATTGTTAACGTTGAAGTTCCTTATCGTTATGGCAAATGATACAAATGATAATGTTACACTGTTCGTGATCTTTATTTACATGAATAATGCATTTCAAATTCTCACAGCCCAAATTAACGTTAATTGCAAATCAAATTATATTTGAGATATTAATTTGAGATCAGCATTTGGCGTTTTTTTTTGAAATTCTAGTTTGGGTATCATTAAATTATTTGAATCAAAAAAAGTAATCTAAAAGCTCGCAAAGCTGGCTTGGCTCACGCGGAACTTAATTAAAATTACAAAAAACATTAAAACTCTAATAACAATGTAAAAATAATTTGATATTAATAGTCACACGAGTAATATAATAATAATCTACAAATATTCAATTTTATTAAAAAAAACAGAAATAAATTAAACCATTTAAATATAAAGGTTTGAATCACACCCCTACAAAAATTTTCATTCTTCCCGTTTCTCATTGAGCCCTTGTTCATCAGTCACCACAATATCAACTTTTGTATGACGATGCGATGATTGTTGTGATTGACGATGCAATGATTGTTGTGATTGTCGTATATTAACTGATAAATGATCATCCTCATCATCACTACCAAAGCCATTCTTTTTCGTTCTGCGCCTTCGTACGGATTTTGCGCGCATCATTGTTTCTTTGTCTTCGACATCGAACACGTCACTCTTTGCACCTAATAAATATAACATAACATTATTTTTAGATATTGTGCCTTCGAAATCAATGAATAGAACAAGAATAAATGTTACATTACTTACCTAATGTTAAATCTGCCTTTGGTGACGTTGCGTCATGTTTTATCGGATGAATACGAAGCGGACGAACAGGCAACACCATTTTGTCAACTGGGAACTTTGGTCCAGAGAAGGGTCCTTGTATGTCAAGATCTATTATCAGGTTCTTGAGTTGGCACATAAACTATATGTATAAAATAATCAAGCAATGGTATAAAAGATATCCGATTTTAATATTAATGTATCAAGGCATCAAATAATCAGCATTAGTGGTAGAAGCACCTTATTCTTCCGGCGACAAGTAACTCCCTCATCTTGCCAATTAGATTTATGTTCGACCGTGATTTTTATCACCAGCTGTCGACACTTTGGCATTTTCTCGACGGTCAGTTCAAGAGTTGGATAAAAGTCACGTTCTTCACCTTCCAAGTAGGTTACCATTCTTTCGCGTAAAGCTTCGATTTGTTCGAATGATGTATAGAAATCTACTTCGATCAAGACCTGTTGATAATTCATTATTTAGTGTATTGTATATGGAAAGTATTCAACGAATTTGTTGATTTTTGCCGAGTTTGTTTGGTAAGCGTTAGTTTTAATTTACCTCGTCACGCATGTGCCCTGATCTCCTGATGTTTTGAATGAATTTCTGTGCCTAAGTTATGATAAACATACGCGCAGAAAAATAATATTAGTAATTTTTCTTCATAATACTGAATGATCCATCACCCAACAAATAAAAAACATGCAAAAAATAAATAAATAAATACCAATTGATTATTAGCAGCTTGTACGAGTTTGCCATCATCTTGTGTCAAAACTGAAAAGATAAAAAATTAATTTATTGTTATTTTTAAAAATTCACAATTAACTCACCAAAACAAACAAATAAATGAAGGTTAACTTACTGGTTGAGAGTAACGACTATGGTATTTTAGTTAGGTTATAGATAATGAAAGTATGTTAAATAATTGAAAAATGTATAAAAATACGCAAAATCACATAACATGTTCTAACCATTTCTTTAACAATGTATGTCTGTTTTTCTATTTCAACACGATCGCCTATAATAAACACAATTAATTAATAAAAGTTCAAACCAATAACGAAAGAAAAAATAATGACATACCAACATCAAACGGATGTTTAACGAACAAAAAGATGATGCATTCAAAGAGAGCTTGAGCACTGGACCCGACCATAAATGACAGTGCCAATAGAATAGACCCGGCTGTGGCAATGTATGTTTGAAACGAAACGTCCAAGAATGCGACAAACAGTAAAATAATGATAAACTGTGATAGTAGTGATAAAATTTAATTTTAGGTGTGTCATTTTTATAAGCATTGATAGAGAATACCCACATAAATTACGACCATTAGAATCGAATCTAATTTGCCAACTGCATTATCTAAATCTCTAGAAATTATATAAAAAACAAAAAATAATTAATTAATTAATTAATTACACAATTTATTATTTAACTGTTCAACTGATCACTTACCTCATAGAAGCAGCAATAGCCTTTCGTTCCTTATACGTTTCAACACAAACAATAAGAATCTCTTCTTTACTTACATCACCATTTCCATCTTTATCAAAAATAAAAAAAGCGTTTTCGGCGGCCTCATGACTCGGAAAGTAACCGCAAATATCCTCGAAGACTAGATGGTTTCGTTCCGAATCACAGAACGCGCGGAACAATCGACGTCCCAGTATGCGTGCGTCGTGTCCTGTTTGTAGGTAGTTTAGGACAGAGACTTCCGACGCATTTAGAGCACTGTCGAACTAATTTTTATAGATTTATATTTATTTTATAATTAATAAATCAACGAAAAAAAATAAAGAATTTGATTCTTTTTTATATTATTGTCACCTGATGCCCTGTAATTTCGGATGCAATCTGACCTAACGCCGACGTAGTCTTCTCCAACGCATTTTTCGTCTGTGATATGATTTTTGTGAAATTGATGTTTTGTGCGACATGCGAATCGGATCTTGGCAATGTCCCGTCGTTCGTCGACTGCCGAAGCCTTTTTTTCGATGCGGCATAAAGGGTCGTCAGCACCGAGACTTGGTATTTGTTGTGGGCGATTCTTTCCTGGTACGTAGTTTCGTGGAATTTCACGGCGACCACTTGCAATAAGAGTTTTTCGAGGGCAACGATTCCCGAGGCGATAAAGCAAACTTTATTTTTTTTATTGTTAGTAATGGTAGTAAGGGAAAATCCATTTGTACAGAAATTTATTGTAAATAGATAGACAAGGAAAGAAGGAACTTAAATTCTCACCGGCAAGTATTCTGTTCGTTGTATACTGCCAATCAGTTATAACTCCTCCTTTAGAATTATAACCCACCATAATTGGGACAAAACTCAAAAATGCAACACATAAAAACGCGCACAACGAGATATAGTAATGCAAATGACGAATATATTCCATATAACGTTTTGCGCGACTTGTAATATGTCCAAGGACCCATTCTAAGGATATATAATTGAATTTGAATTTAATAAAAATTGAATTTTTACACTTGGAAGCAAATAGTAGTTACCCATAAAAAACGGAAACAGAAACACCACAAATCTCGACGTAAACAACGCGAACCAACACACTCCCAACCAAATAGCCCAAATATGAAGTGGCACATCCGCTATATTCGTATTCTTCCAAACAAGGTACCCCAACACGGCAAAAACAGTAAACACGGCCAACCCTGGGAAAATATATACAAAACTACGCGTCCCGACCGAGAATGTGTGAAACCACCGGCGGAAACGTTTGAATTGTCCTTCTTTTCGTGACATCGAATTCACGTCCCCGTCTTCATCATATTCGGAGTTTAGGGACGCGGCGTCATCGAGTCTGTAGCTGCCTACTTTCAGATTGTTATTGATTTTTGACATTCTTTTTCGTTGGTTATCCAAGATAACCTTCACTTTTTATGGTGTGTATAATATGTATTTATATATATGGGAAAAGGAACTTTTACAATGGATACGCGAAAGAAGGAAATGATTAAAATTTAAAAGAAGGAAAACTTCCCCTCTCAAATAACAAAAAAAAAACGGATCAACGTTTTCTTCAAATTTTTGAGTATAAGGAAGGAAGGAAGGAAAGAATTGCGGAAAAACACACAAAACTAAATTTTTTCACAAAGAAAAAATCCACGTTTTGTCAATGTCTGAAAGAGTATATAGGAGAAATTAATTTAACAGGGATAATTGTCATGCATTTCTCGTTTCTGCTATTGCTATGGAGTGATACATAAAAATAAGGATGCGCGTTTGCAACACACAAAGAACGAATTATTTAACAGTAATTAATCTGATATTCCTTCAAAAAAACCACCTGATCTATCCCCCAACGAAACTTTTTTTTAGCGTTAGATGAGATTATGAAATATTCAAATTATTCAAATGAATTCATAGAATTAACATCGTTATACAATAACACGCTCTCATCTCAAACGTAAATTTTGTATTTACTTCTTAGTAAAGAAGTTTATATATTTTATAAAATACAAACGTTTGATGACTTTAGATTTTATGCACCATACGTACATAGTTAATAATTACGTGAGAAAAAAATACATGATTTAAAAAATAAAGATAATAGAAATTTTTTTAAAACATTAATTATGTCTATTATTACTTCATATCAACGAGGCCAAGATTTTGAGCAAGAAATTTATGAAAATTTAGAGAAGTAAAGATAAAATGTCACCGTGCACCGTGAGTAATAAATATTTGTTGAATTATTATGTTATCTGAAATTACGCTGCCACACGGACGAGCCTTCGCTCAAGAAATTTTCGACTCTCCTCAGGAGATTTAAAAGATATGAAAACTGAGTACGATCAGTTCAAGCAAGAACTGGGGGAGATCGGCAAATTCTATGCTGAAGCATCCGAATCTGGACAGGAAGTGCTAAGGTGGAAAAATGCTTTCAAAGCTAGGAGAATTGACAGCACTTCGTGGTTATATATTATTTAAATATAATATATTAATGTTCTTTTCTGGAAAGGGCCTACGAAAATCTTAAGTGTATATGGTCCTCATAGAAGTTGGGTTCTTGTGGTGAATAGGATACATGAATAAAATAATTGAAAACATGTCATGGTCATATGATTAATTTCATTTGAACGTTCTTGTTTTATTCTTGATAATGATGACGCAAATATATTTTTTTTATAATTTAAGATTTAGACGAGGTGACGGTGGTGTTGATATAAAAGCAGAAATTATAGAGATCCCAATTGTAGTTCAATGTAAAAATTGGACATATAGAGTTTGTATTAATACGGTTCATAGATTATTGTTTTATATATTGAGTTTTTATTAGTTTATAGGATACTATCACAATATCCTCGAACTACAATTGGGATTATTATGACCTCAATAATAAATTGTTTTACAGACAGTGCATAATAAAGTTAAACTATCAAATATAATATTATTTAACTAATAGAAATAATATTAAAGATTCAAAGTAATAGAAAATAAATTAGATAGATCTTACCTTTTAATCTGTATAACAAGCAAATTTGCCTACTAAAATTTTTAAATAATATTTTATTAGCAAACATCTTTGAAAATTAAATTATAAAGTAGACATGAATATTATGACACACTATCCAAAATGATGCATTATTAATAATTTATATAATCAGCTATTAGTAATATATTATAATTTAAACTGTGTTATAATATCTATATTTATTTTATAATTTATATACATATAATATATATATTTATAGATTTTATCTTTTAATTTAATTAAAAAGTTTTTTAGTTAATTTTAAAAATTATTTTCATAATCATGAAAAATTATGTGAATTTTTAAAAATAAATATTTAATTTTAATTAATTAATCTTTTTGCATGAAATCATATAAATTTTTAATTAATATATACTCTTACAATAAATTATTGGCAATCAAAAAAAAAATAATAAAATATAGTAAAAATTGAAATTTTCTTTTTATAATAAAGTTTTTATTTTTATTAGTAAATATTTTTTGTTTTTATATTAAAATAAAACTAAGAATCTGTATTTTAATATAGATTTTTTATAGATTTTAAAGAAGATTTCTAATTATAGAGTTTAAAAAAAAATCTAATTCAGTTCAAACTCAAACTAGACTCAAACCTAAATCTAATCAAAAATCCAGTTCAAAAATTTGAATCCAATTAAAAGTCTAATTTGAATTTAGTTTGAATTTTGAACCTAACTCAAACCTAACTAAAGTTCAATTTGAATTCAAGTAAATATTTGATAATATTCTAATTAAAGTTATTATTTGATAATACTTTAATTAAAGTTATAAACCATAACTAAAGCTACAAATTGATATAAAATAATTAATATTTAAAATAAATATTTAAAAATTTATAAAATATTTTTAATTATTTATAATTTTAATTAACTTTATTTATATTATAGTAAATATTAATTATTTAATAATAATTATAAAATTCTAAGCAAAATTATAACCAGTAATATAAACTACAAATTGATAGAAAATAAAATATTAATTATAAATATTTAAAGAATTATATTATTATAATATGAATTTTATATATTATATGATTTAGTATACTTTATTTTAATTAGATAATTAATTTTTATGTAATTTATAGATCATATCCTTTTTTATTTTATATTATTTATATTTTATTTATACTATTTTTTTTTATTTTATGTTTATTTATATTATCCTTTTTTATTTCATACTATCTCATACTATTAATTATAATTATATATATTAATTATAAATTATATATAATATAATATTAAAGTGAGTAATATATAATAATTAAGCAAATAAGTATTTTTTATGAAATAATAATATTAATCAAATTTAGTTTTAAATTTTAATGATTAAATAATAAATAATTTGTATAAATATAACATATATCTTAACTCAGAAAAATAGTAAGTTAGTTAAGTTAGTTAGTTATCTAATAATTTAATTATCTTTGACAAAATTTTCTTAAAAGTAAATCATATTATAGATTTTGAGTTAAAGTTTTTTAGTCAAGTATTAATTACTTTTTTATTTTTTTATTTGTATTTTTTTGTTAAAAGATCTCTCATCTGTAATAAGTAATATCTTTTATTTAATATAATTAATCTTTTATTATTACTTTGTAAAGTTAGTTATTATTATACATATAATAGAATTAATTTTACCTTTTTCTCATGATAATTAATCAAACAAATTACTAATTATTAATTAGTAATTAATTGAATAATTATATTAATAAGATGCTATATTAATGCAAAATTATCAAATATGAGAATACAAAAATATATATAATTATTATTATTTAGAAACTTAATAAAAAGATAAATTAATTATAAAAAATTTCTGCAATAACTTTGTAATTAAAATAATTTTATTAGAAAAAAATCTAAAAAATCCAGAAAAAATATATATTAAATTATAACTTATGATTTTTGTTTGATATAAAAATAAAAAATATTTATTAATAAAATTAAAAACTTTTATACAAAACAAAAATTTTAATTTTTATTAATAAAATTATAAATAATTTTATTAATTATTATATATAATATTTATAATAAAATTTAATAAATATAAAATAAAAATATCTTAGTTACTTTTAAATAAATTTTTAATTTTTAATAAATATTATAAATTGAATTTATAAATAAAATTATAATTTAAATTTAAAATTACAAATTAATATATATTAATTTTGAATTATTTTCAAATTTATATAATAATTTAATTCGAATTTAGTTCAAATTTTGAATCTTTCTTGAATTTAAATCAAACTCTGATTTGAATTTAATTCAAATTTTAAATCAGATTCAAAAATTCAATTTAGTTTAATTTATAAAAATACTAATATATATATAAAATTACTATAAATATTATAAGTTTTTTATAATTTGATAAAGTTAATTTATTATAATAAATTAACTTAAAATCTAATTATAATAAAATCAAATTAAAATAAAATTTGGCTATTTTTTTATGAATAAATATTTTAAAAAAGGATTAGAATTAGGTTGAAGTATAGAATATAGTATAAAATCTATAATAGATTAATTTATAATTATTTAAATATCTTACTTTATTTTATTTTAGTTTAATTTGTTATATCCTCTTTATAATCACAAAATTTTGCTTTTCCAAGAGTAATGACTATAAAGAAGTTTGACTATATTATAATAATTTTTAATTGTTTAAGCAATCAAACAAATAAATATTTTGGTAAATACTCTTTTCTTTTACTTGATTTAATTAAATCAAATAATTAAAAAGTAATAAAATAAACTTCGTATATTACTATTTAATATTAATTTTCTTATAATATAATTCGAAAATTAATTAATTAATTATTAAATAATAATTTGATTAGTTAAAAAAGAATAATAATAATTAATATTATTTTTATTTTAAATAATCTTTTGGTAAAAATAATTAAATTAGAATTAATTTAATTATAACAATTATTATATATAACAATTTTAATATTAATCAATTATATATTTAGAATTTTAACTTTAATTCTAATTTAAATTCTAATTAACCAATTAAAATATAATTGTTACAAATAATAATTTTTACAAATATCTTTGTTTTTAAATTATTATAAAAAAATAATAATTTATTTTAACAAATTATTGATATTTTAGTGTTAACAAAACTTTAGAGCTTATGAGCTTTAAATTATTAATAAAGAGATTATATATAACAAATAAAATAAAAGAATTATAATTACTAGTTAGAAAATTTATTTTTAATTATTTAAGGCTAGTGTTTTTTATGTCATAAATATACTTGATTTTACATTTTTTTAATATATCTATTACAAGTTTTCTATTATTTTATTAACTCGACAATAAAAACAAGTAATTTTTCATGATATAAGATTGTGATATTTTAATAAAAAATGAATCTCTATTTCTAGAAACAAAAAGATTTATTGAGAAAAAAATAAAGAAAAAAATTAAAGAAAAAGTGAATATAAAATAAAATTAAAATGCTAAATAAAAATGAAATTATCTAATATATCTACATTCAGACCTCCCTAAGTGCACCCCCCCCCGGGGACCATAGTGAAAAAAATATAAAAAGTGCATTTAGAGAGGATGTGCATTTATAGAGAGCAAAATGCATAAAGTTCTTATAAGCCGGGGACCAAGCATTTAGAGAGAATTTATAATCCGTGCATTTATAGAACGTGCACTTAGGGAGGTCTGACTGTACTCTATTTTCTATAAAATTAAATCTTTTTTCTATTCTATCTAAATTATTTATTAATAAATCTATTTTATTATTTATTCTATGACTAACGAATTCTAATCTATAATGATATTGTCTCTATATTATTCTACACTTTTAGTATAATCGTCTCTATTTGGAATTACAAATATTCCAATTGTATTTTTAGATTTTTGTGATAGAACCCAATTGTTGAATAAAAATCGGTACCTATCTTTCTATGAATAGTATTTGCGAACTACAATGGAATATTTATGATTCTTCCTTTTAAATCTTTTCCTCCATCTCCTGGTCCACTAACAAATAATAAAATATTATGTCATTATGATCAAGATAAATAAGAGCGTTCATATAATACCGGTTATGACTTTTTTTTTTAAGTCCACCTGAATTATATGGTACACGATGTATTTTCAATTATTTTATTCATGTATCCTATTCACCACTGTCCCGAGCTAGAATATACGGCGACTTTTGGGTGTGACTATGGTATGCGTTGTACTTTCAATTTATATCCTAGTGGCAGCGTAACTTCAGATACAAAAATAACTCAACAAATATTTAATAAGAAAACTCACCCTACTTGTTCACATTATATACATTCCACTGTATTTAAACGATCACAAATTTCTTGTTCCTTTTTCATATGAAGAAGCAGACATTTTGAATTGAGAAAAAAATATTCTTATTATTATCTGAATCATTTTTAAGTTTATGTGTCACCATGTTACAAATGATGAATAACGAATTTATTATTATACAATACAAATATAATTTAAGATTCACTCTTTTTTTGACGCCTTTTCATCTTTAACGACTCGAGTTTCACGGAAATTATGATAAACTTTTTTTGTCGGATATATTAAATATCTATGATGTATCTATTTTTAGATAATATAAACGTCCTCCAATATGCTTCGGACAAAAAATTTTTTACATCTTACACGCGTCAATTTAACGCACATGTACACAGTAAATCTCTACGTAGTGTGTATCAAAAAAAGCTACATGTTCTAGCAAAAAATTCTCCACTATATCGAGAGTTTTTGAAAATTTATTAGTAAATCTGCTATATCGAGTGGACTTTATTAGAAGCAGTTTTGAATATTATCCACTATAACGTGAATTTAATTAGTCTCCACTATAACGGGGGTACTTTAAAGGTTAATTCCCGTACGTTAATTCACTGCATAAAGTACTCTCTACTATAGAAAATTTAAACCTAAATTTTAACTCAAAACTATTAGAAGTAATTTTTTGAAGAAATTGCATCGTGAATATTGTTTTATTCATTTGCAGGCAAAAGAATTGGTTTTACTAAAAAAAAAATTGGACTAGGGTTTAATTTTTCTACAGGGAGGGTACTTTATGCAGTGAATCACGGTAATTTTGTTCAAGAGACATCAATTTCAATGAAATTCCAAACTAAGAGATTCCACTGCTTGTATGATTTTATTTTGTATTTTGATTTTTTCATCTGAGGCACATCAGTATATCCACATGCGAATTTTGATCATTTAAAAAATGACGGTAGTCGATTAAGATTTCCATTAATCGTGTTATGTACGACAGTCTCGCATTCTTCACACTCTGAAAGCAATGGCAAGTTTGTTTTTCTTGGTCAATATTGACAGAAAATTTTCGAAAATGTATACCTTCTAGAACTTTCATTATGGGACGAACAAATGGACTCAGAATTCTGGATTTATGCGTTCACAGTGCATCTATGTGGCTTCGATCATCATTATGAGACAACCATATACCTCATCTTACATATATATAATCTGATATTAATAGAAATAGGATTTTGATTGAATTCTAGCCAATTAAATTGTAATTTTTATTATAGATCTGCAAAATCGATGCAATTTAATTGGTTAGAATTCAACCAAAAGAGTTTGTGAATGCACACCCATTATACTTATTTAGGATTGCAAGTAAAAAAAGAAATCTCATCGTGGTAATGATAAACCTGGGCTTTAAATAAATTCTAGAAAGGGGAAGAAAATAATACAATCTTTTCTTTTTTCAATAACGATAAACAAAAATCAATAAATAATTTAAAATAAGTGAATATGTCAAAGAGTGGAAAAGATAGTGATGGGGAATATAAATTATCGGAAAATGAATCTGACTCGAACTCTGAAGAATACGATACTGATGATAGTGACGAACCTACCGGTAAAAGTTCCGGAAAACCAAGTCCAGGGAGAAAGGGAAAAGGTAAAAAAGCTGTAGGAGGTGGAAGCGGAGCAAGTACACCAAAAAGTGGACACAGTAATAATGCCACGCATAAAAAAGCTACGTCAGCAACACGAAGAAAAACAAATAACAGGAGAAAACGTCGACATGCATCTGTAAAAGGCTCTTCTCATGCTGAGACCACTTCACATAAAATAATTCCTAAAATATTGGTAAGAAATCCAACAAAGAAATTCGTGGTAATTCCAAAGAAACCAACTTTTCAAGATGGACTTTTAGTACCTCCAAAAGTGAAGCGTAAGAAATCACCAAAGTCGCCTGTTGCTGCTAATAAAAACAAATCATCTAATGAAGAAGATAAAGAAAATGATAATACATTCTCTGAGGATATTGATCTGTTATCTAAATTACCATTACCATCAGCTACAATACGTCGTCGATATAATCAAAATATTAGCTTGATAGGATCAATTAATATCCAAGCATTTGGCAAGAAAAAAGCGTCAAACCATGTACTGATGCGTATTATCACCGATATACTACGACGTTACGATATTGTATTTTGTCAAGAGATTCGTGCTCCAAAAGATGATGAATCAATAATTCAACAATTGTGCGACGAGGTCTCGACCCCGAATTCTCCATACTCGTACGTGACTAGTCATCCTATTGGTAGAGGAACATATCAAGAACGTTATGTTTACTTGTACCGACAAAATGAATGGAAAGTGATTGAGGAGTATGTGATTGACGATGATGATAAATTGGGCGATTTGTTTATGCGGGAACCCTTTGTTGTTCATTTTCAACATTTACGTAAAACTAATGTAAACCTCACATTGGTTGGATGTCACACTCAACCAACTAAAGCATTTGAAGAAGTTTCAGCATTAGTAGAACAAGTTTATGGAATTGTAAGAAAGAATGCAATTGATTCATCAAAAAAATCATTCTCATCAAAGAATAATAAAAAACCCAATGCAAAACAACAAACACGCGGTACAATGAACGACGATGACCAACCACATGGAATATGGCAAACACTAAAAAGTATGTTCTGTTGTTGTCTACCAAACTATTCACCTGTCTCCACAAGAGAAGCAGACTACTCTGAAAAATCAACCACCACCAATGATCCAATTGTGATGATGGGTGATTTTAATGCAGCCGGAAGTTACGTGAATAAAGGAAAACGTGCAGAATTGGATGTTCTTCTAAAAAAGAACGGATTGGTATGGGGAATACGTAATGCCACTGACACTACGGTCGCGGATGGCGCTGATACCGCATACGATCGATTTGTATTCGAGGAGGAAAATGAGAGAAGGTGTATTGGAAATAGCGGTGTTTGGCGATTTGATGATGGTTGGCTTAGTGAAAAACATGATAATGCGTTGGTGAAGAGAGCAGCGAAACGTGTTTCCGATCATTATCCGATAGAGTTTGAGTTTAAGTTATAATTTAGTTTTGATCGTGTTGTATTGTATATAGTTTATTTTTGGGTATTTATTTCCTTTTTCTATCTAATTTATTTTTCATTTTATTATTTTGGTGTTCAATAAATATATATATGATTAGCAATCTTGAAAATTGATCATATGGCACAGTTAACTCGAGCTGATTACCCCCGTGAAATTTAGTGCAGGCCAACTGATTCATTGAGTGAAACATGGTAACTTATGAACGATGACGATTTTATTAGTAAAGTTTCGCTTTTATCGATCCCGAGTGTGACTTTTTTCTTGGTGCAGCAGGGGTACTCGCTCGAGCCAATTATTAAGGATTTCTTCTATTTCAGATCAACATCTAAAAGTAATTAAACAGCATGAGTCTTTAATTTAGAAATACAGACAAACCTCCCTAAATGCACCCCTCTTGGGACCATAGTATAGCGTGCATTTAGAGAGGGTGTGCATTTATAGAGGGCAAAATATATAGAGCTCTTATGAGCTCGGACCCAGCCATACTGTGTATTTAGAGAGGGTGTGCACTTGTAGAGGGTGCATTTAGGGAGGTTTGTCTGTACGTATCTATTTATTAATAAAAACGAAAGCTCGCGGTCAGATCACATGTTTGGTCACGTGATAATATTTTCTACTGAAGGTAGGATCATCTCTAACGTGCTTGGATGATGGTAATCATTGTAGAAACGAACAGACAATAAATTTCTTGATTTCATAATTTTTAGCATAAATGTCATTATTACAACTATTAATACCTATTTTATTACATAATTTTTAATCACGATTTAACATTATATGTAAAATTAACATTTATTTTTAACATTTCTTTGTAATTTCTTAGTATTTGTAATATTTAACACTTTTCTAACATTTTATTTAATATTAACTTATTACTTATTACTTAAATTTATTTTTGTATTGTTTAACATGTAATACTTTTCTTTTTGACAAATTTAACATTATTTTGACACTTATATTAGATTATAGCTTTGATTGATAATGCTATATCTGGGATAATCGTTACATGATCTAAATAATTATTTTTAACGCAAAATGAAAATCTAGCAATTCTTTATTATATTAAATTGGACCGCTATAAACTGCTCTCCAGCACGACTAAATAACTTATCACATTATTACGATAGCTGTTTGTCTCTCCATTTCTCATCCCTCCATCTTCTTCCTATTCCTGTAAAACTGATTTACGAATTTTAACTAATGCTCTCAGCACTGATTCTCTTCCAGCAGGTTCTGCCAAATCTAGACCAGAACTTAGACCATTCTCCCCCGGCCACCTTAAAATCGTAATTGCCCGATTTAGTGGTAAGCCCCTCTTAAGTGCTCTCCAATATGCTACAGGAATCTCAGCCTTGTAAAATGTAACATACGTGGAGATGACACGAACAACGAATATAGTCTGATCCGTAATAGATTGACGCACATTTTCATATCCGCAGGCGAGTATCTCGGCAAGAATTTGTGCTTCCCCAAAATCAGGTGCCGAAACGTTTTTCAAATGCTTATCCTGTTAAGAAAAAGGTTTTGAGTCATCAAAAGTGTGGGCTTGTCAAACAATCAAAAACATACAGACATCCACGACTATCATAACAACTTCTTCCTTACTTATGACAAATTCGGGTCTTGCCGACACTTTCTTATCACTAACGGATAGCTTGAACCATTCTTTGACTCTAGGTTTAGATACAATGTGAACTTAAGAAATCATTAGAGTACATAGCAAAGACATTTTTTATTATTCACCTAACGCCTAATGGCCAATGATCAAATTCAACAATGCGAGTTAACAGTTGGCATACTAATGTGTCAGTCTTAGATTCATCCGTGCCTATATCGAGACCTGCATTCACGGCAACTCTGTGTAGGTTGTTAATGAACGTTTTGACGTATCCATCCGAAATTCCGCTAATATTGCTAACACGGAAGTTATGCCTTTCAAGAATAGCATGATTGATGTTGTTGAGAACGTATGCATCCGGAAAGTTTGTGACTAGACATTATTTAAATTATAAGCATTATGTTCGCTAAAATTGTTAACACAATGTAATTCTTACCTTCAACATCAGGTATGACTTCGTTCTCGTTGGAAGCCGATTTGAAGGTTGCGTTTAGTGCTTCTCTATCTTCCTCTGTGAATTTAGATGCCGAAGAAGGAAGATCCTTTAAGCCATAGCTCGAACGCTCACTAGAGCTGGAACCGGAACTGAGCCTAAGATTACTGGTAGCCTCCGCGATAGCTGAGTCTCCTCTGGCAAGACGTTTGGGTTGCTTGCGGGTGGCAGAAGAGCTCGGACTTTCAGTTTCGACGTTTTTTCGTTTCTTTGAAGACATTAGCAACACAAAAAGCTATGTGATATATGAGAAAGATTTGTAGGTCACACGATTACATCATACATAAAAGGTTCTAATTTATTCTGCGATCGCACGTAAAATAAATCAAAATTTTGATTGGCCTCATCATATATGTCACCCGCAAAATATGACGAATATACAGCTCATCTAATAACCCAGGCGATCTTTGAGCATCCGCACTAAAAATGAATCATATATTCTTATACTATAAAGAACCAAATCTAATAGGTAGGTCAAAAACACTAAAACCGCTAAATATAATATTCTCTATAAGTGATAAATATGTCTGGTTTTGATGTTATAACTATTCTCGATAAGAAAGATAGAACATTACCCAAACCTTTTAATATTCATCCTGGATATGATATGAAATATGTCACAAAATATATTGGAAATTATTTTGCTTTTGATGGTAAACGATATGATGAACTCTTCAATAATGAGAGATTATTTGATACATTGTCTATCATAAAACAGAATGAAACACTGGTTCAATGAGCAATATGAGTAAGAATTCCATTACAAGATTTGTTAAATTCAGGAAAATTTAGTATATATCATCGATATTGTCTATTTATATCATATGTTAAAGGTAAATTTGTCAATTTCAATTATTATAGACCAAGAATCCATAAAAGTTATATGACTATTTGCTTTGATTGCTGGAAACTCATAAAAATTGATGACGTACAACCAAAGAAATCGTTTCATTTCACTAGAAAAAGATATATCGAAATTATTAAGCCAGATGATTTGATGCAGAAACTAAGAATGCTTGCCTAAATCCTTTCAGAAAAATATCATCATAATTTTGATGGGTTACACATTAATTGTTAATTAGAATTTCGATATAATTTCGGTTACGACGGGTTTCAAAATTCGTCAGAATTTCGATGGGTTATTTACTAATAGTTTATTATAATTTTGACAGAATTTAGACAGTCACTAAGGGATTTCGGCAAGCAACCTTAGCAGAAACATTGAAATAATGAATGTGATAAACCAAAGACTGATTTTGGAAAAGCAAGGATTATACAAAGAGCTTGGAGAAATTACAAGAATAGACCCAAATCATTAGCAACCCAAGCTTGGAATGCAATGAGAAATGACGGTACTTCTGATGATGAAAAATTTCTAGGTTTAACTCGACATCAAGTAAAAAATCCTCAGACTCGAGAACAATTTAATCAATGGTGTACTAAATAGATTGAATTATATAAAAACAATCACATGATACGCAGTTGTATTATTAATAGACAATATAAAGAATATTATATTTCAGATAATTGAATAGATTCTAAAAAAAGTCAATTGCAAGTTAGATTCCAAAAGCGACTTTTAGAAATAGAAGCATAGTACTTTAGATTTTATTTCGTTATCACTGAGGCTGGTAACATTTTTTACTTTAGTTTTTATATATAGTTATTTTACCTGACACAAAAAATCTCCTTGATACAAATAGACTTTATTTATTTTTTCAACATCTACTTCAACCTCAATCAGGCTGGATACTGATAGCTATTTCATTGGAGAATAGTAGCGAATAAGATGTTAAAAGCATCTATCCCAATTCCAATCATGGCTGGATACAGACAGCTTCTTAATAGAAGTGATGAGTAGGATGTACTTATATTGTTGTATTAATAAATAGCCGAAAAAATAATTATTCGATTGTTATGTCTTATTTTATCCGATTTTAAAGTATTATATCTTCTGAAATATCACCCTGGTTAGGCAGAATGTTTATTATCTTTTAATCTCTCAATCTCCTTTTCTAGATCAAGAGGGATGTCTCATCGAAGTGAGAAAGACTCAGATCTGGGTTTATTCAGATCTATAACTATAAACTCTTTTTGCCTCAAATAACCATCAATAATTTTTGAAGCTTTTCGTGGATCTACATCAGTGTAAGAACTTATAATATCTGCAAGTTTTCGAATAGAGCCCTCACCATTAAAGAGAACAATGTGAGTAGCATTTTCACAAATATCTATTGGGATTTTGTGGAATTTCTGAGCAATATAAATTGAGGAAATATTCTCATGACGACCTCAAGTGAAAAATGGAATAATTTTTTTCTGTATAGCTGAAGAATCAGAGTAAAGATCTTCAAATATCACTAATATACTTCTTTTAGCATTAAATTTTTTGGGATCTGGGATTTTATCAGGAGATAGTGTAGAAAATGTGACATCTTCATAATAGGACTTTGATTTGTTTTGGGCAAGATATTTATAAAAATCTCGAACTATTTTATATTTTGGCTCATTTAAATGATGTCCGAAAAGAAATACATCATTGCATTTAACATTGCGTTCCTCTATCTTAGAATGCTTTTTCTTCTTAAACATGTAATAAAATTTGGGCATTGTTAGCAAGTTTAAATTCATATTGGTCTTACCTGAATTGCTAGCCCCTGTCATCACAATACGAAAAGGCCATGCTGATGCATCTTTATCTTCCTAGTATTTTTTCGAAGGTTTTATCTCATCCACAGCAAATACATAATATAACATCTTTTTGTTATAAATATATATTATGTTTTTTTATTCTGACGAATAATCTGATTTTGACACACTATTTATATCTATATTTTGTAGATAACCTTTCTCTTGCAATTTGCTTTTTATATATGGTAATAAATCAGTATCATACGGTATTAAAATAAGATCTATGTCTTGTTTCTTACATATTTTCAGCTTTTTTTGGTCACGTTACCTTTGCTGATCCAAATCAAATTGCCCGCATTTATGGAACATTGAATTAAGATTGTAGTGTTGGACTCCCTGGAATTTGTATGTCAATTTTAGCTCTTTATTATATCTGTCTAATTGCATCCCATTCAAAAATGATGGTTTACAAGATGGAAATTTCTTACCTAATAGATCTTTGAAAATATATCTATATCTGCATTCATCAATAAAATGTGGACAAACTGGGCACCACTCGAATTTACGCTTCTGGATCTTATAGGTGCTTCCCATTGATAAAGTCCATTTTCGCATGACCAGAGATATACATTATAACCATTTATTTGACCAGTTTTTTCAATGCAATATCCACCTCGTCTTTTAGCATAAGCCTGAGCATTAACTATTTTATTAACAACACAGATAAAATTAACAGATCTGGAATGAGTATTTTCTTCCAATATACTCTGAGACAGATACTGAAGTTTTTCTAGATCTATATGCATAAGCTCTTCACATATAAACTCCTGCTTTGGAGGATATTCATCATCATCATCTCCGAGATAATATAAAATTGGCTCATTCTTTGTTACAACAATTTTTCAAATTTTATGAATGCTTGAACTGAATGTGAGATTTGTCACCCTTTTCTAATTCTTCATACCGTCTTCTCATTCTGTATTAGCAAGCAGATAGCGAACACTATCCCCCTTTTTTAACTTATTTTTCTCATCCTTTCCAATAGAACACTTATACTTTGTAGATGACCTAGATTCTACTCGTTCTAATTTAATAGCTTTTGCTGGAGCTAAACCCCATTTTAATGAATCTGGAGCTCGAATGAAACGTGTCAGATAATTATTAAAATAATCTATTACTTCTGGCAAATACTTGACCCACTCTCTTATTAATTTAGAATTTTTAGATATTAATTCAATGGCATATTGGATTTTATAAAGCATCTCTGCTAACGTCTTATTGAATCGTTTGACAAGAGCTAATCCATGATGACTATAAGCACCAATTACTCGAATTGTGACATTATGCGCTTCCATTAGCTGACTTACTGATTTTTTGAATTCCATTCTGCCATCATATTGTAACAATTGAGGATAGATAAGGGGATTATTAGAGTTATCATAAATTTTCTTAAATGCTTTAGCAACTTCAGAATTATTTTTTGATGTTAGAGGAACACTTGTCTTGAACCTGCTAGTCACATCTATAATTTGTAATACTGCTTTCCATGTCTTCTCCTTATATTTATCATGCGTAAGAAATAAGAGATTACATTGATATACACAATTTGGACATGAAATTTTACCATACCTAACTCGTGAAATATTTTTTGGTGACGGGACGTACTTTTGCCATTCATTCTGGTTATGTAACCATTCACAAATTTTTTTATATGGGAAGTTATATCTTTTATCTTTGATAGCATTATACAGCTTTTGAGGGTTGGAATGATAACCAGTAGGTTAGTAAAAAAGCAATTTACAAATTAAATTTAACTCCTCGTCTGGATCGATTCTAATAATAGGCTTGCTCAATCTATTCATTTTTGATATTACTTATTATAGCAAAGTCAAAAGATAAGATAATATAATATGTCATAAAAAATAGAGACAGAGTCTCATTACTTCGTAATAACCATGGCATTTCATAGATCCTGACCTCCCAATCGAACAACTCATAGATCAGCTACAAATAAAGAACTTGAGCTGGAACAAATTAACCAAGAACTCCAGGAGATATTACAATTGAAGGTAGCCATCAACAAGTCGAATAAGAAATATATAAAGGATCTGGAACGTAAATATACCTGATGTGAGAATGAAATTCAATCTCTCAATAAAGAACTGGAACAGCTTGAGAATGCTTCAGAGGAAGAAAAAGCAGAGTTGAGATCGGAGATATCGTCTCTTAAAAGAAACTTATATCAAGCTAAAAAGGATATCTGAGATAAGATATCTTATATTGATAGTATAAAGAAGCAATTACAAGAATCAGAAGAGCGAGTTCAAAATCTAAGACATAGATTCAAAGTTATTTCTTCTTGAAGAAGCTCTTCAAGTTTATATAATTCAAAAGAGGAAGATATAGATATGGTGAATCTTGATCTTTTTATACAAATTGACCAAGGCTTGAATCATATTGAAAATCATCTTAAAGGTGCTGGAACGCCGTTAAATAATCCTATAAATATTATAAATGGTATTAGAGGTTTCTTAAATATCATTCATCTTAATTATCAATCTGCATACCAGGATATAGATGGTGTTATAGCTCAATGAGATGATAGTAATAATCAGATAGTCCAGCTATAGCAGGATGTCAATTACTATAGACAACAAAATGCTAACCTTCAGAATCAAACCAATTGACTTGTTCAAGAATGAGATACCTTGCAAAATTGTGTCAATTAACTTACACTAGAGCGTAATAATTCTCAGAATGATCTTGCTTTAATGACTATGATTTATAATAATGAACAGGTAGAACGATGTTTCTGATGGAGGGTAGCTCAACAATTGGAAAGGGAAATGCAAACACGTATCAATGCTCTATTACTTGACAAATTTGCACTCAATTTTAAACTTCGGAGGTACCAAAGGCATGGGAGAGAATTACAACAAAAATATGATATGCGAGAGTGTTTATAGTATAATGCAAGTCTGATATGGGATGAACAATCAAAACTCAAATGTATTCTTGAAATTATTTATAAGACATTTATTTATCGCTTAGAATAAGAGCTACAACAATGCCAGGCTGATAAAGAATTATTAGAATATAATCGAGATCGGCTCTTTGATAGATATTACAATAAATTCAAGGATCAAAAGGCAAGTCATATCAAGTGAAAAAATAGGGAGCGCAATTCTCAGCAATTAATTTTAAATTTACAAGCCCAAATTTTATTACTACAGAATAATCAACCTATAATCTGAACATGATGGTCGCCGATAGACAACATATTTATCAAACTATTCAAACAAGTCTTGCCCATATTTCATCATATATTGAACAGGAATCACCAGATAATTATTGTAATAGGATTGAAACAGCCATCAGCTATACTGATACAATGATAGCTGACGCCAACCAAGCAAATGCTAATACTTTTACAAATGCTCATAAAGCAGATATTTATAAATCAAAAATGGCAGGGAAATATCTTCCAATTCCAGCTCAACATGCAAATAATAATATTAATACTCCAGCTCGCTTTAAAGCATGGCTTGGAGATACCTATCTACAAAGAACAGTTGGTACTCGCCAGTCTGCTATTCAAAGATTATCTCAAGAAACGTTTAAGACTGATGATAATCCAGAAACATATGAAGCCAAAATTCGTCAATATATATTAGGTGTGCCTGATGATGATGCTAATGCTTTAGGGTTTCTCATGGTTCATTTATCTGATGAGCTTTTTATTTGAATGGAAGGAACCAATTCTGATGGTATCACAACTTTCTTTACTACACTTAAAGAATTATGGCTCAAGCGTCAACCATCACTTGGCTCTAGAGACTCAATTCCCAATCAAATTTCTCAAACTCCAGCTATTAATTTACAAAATAAATCGCAATCAGATAATGATAGTATATGAGCTGAAATAAAAAGCATGATAAAATCAGAATTAGCTTTAGTACTAACCACTCTTTCTCAGTCTACACAACCAACTTCTCAAAGATGAGAAGGACAATTATTACAACCCAGTCAAATGGAACCAGGTGAAATATATCAGGGTCCAGGTTTGCGCTTGAATGACCAAGAATGACTTCGAATGGATGAAGTGACAGATCGTCTTAGTGCTTTAGCAGGTCCATTTACTTTACAATCATTAATGGATACTATTAGTAAAGGAGTAATGGATAGAATTACGTCTTTCTTATCCAATAAGAAAAAAGATACCTCTAATGATGGTATAGATGAAATTACTAAGGGTATGGCAGAATTATCAATAAATAAGGCTATATCCAAAGGTGTATCTAAAGGTATATCACAAGGAATGAAGGAAGTATATGCTATTAATATATTATTCAAACACCGTTGTTTAAAATGTCATAGAATTAGTTATCATTCAAATTCTTTTAGATATTCAAAAAATAAAAAGAAAAGCAGATCCAAGAAAAAAAGGTAAAGTTAATATGGCTATCAATGACTCTAGTTCTGATTCAGGTTCTGATTATAACTCTTCCAATAATGATTCTGATTCTGGATCTGATTCTGGATCTGATTTTGATGATACCTCATCTGAAACTGAGAGTATGCAAGTTAATATCACTAAGTCAAAAAAAAGTAAAGCAGAAGAGTAAACCATCCTCTAAGAAAACACCCAAATCCCATAAGACTAAACAGAAAGGTATTTTCACTTTTAGTAAATCTCAAAATAAATCAACTATCCTTGAGCAAAATATTTGTCAAATTTTATTAGACATGCTTGAAAAGGTCTTACTCCCGCATCAGTTAGAGAAACTTAAATCTGAAGATAAATACTTAACTACTCCAGATTTTGTAAATTATCGAGAACCAATATCAGAGATACCAGAATCAGATGGTGAAGAGGAAATGCTGAACAATCCTATGGAGATAGATTTTGTTCGTCAGAAAGAACCTGACACAAGTATTGTAATTATACTGTGTAAAATCAAATGCTTAAAAATTCCAGCATTGGTGCTCGATAGTGGGGCTGAACCTCCAATTACATCAGAAGATATTGTTAAACGTGTAAATTGGCCAATTGATAAATCAGAAAAATATAATCTTAGTGGTGTTGCAATAGTTCCAACAGAATCTATAGGTATTGCTCGTAATTTTCCAATAATATTCCCTCCAGGTTTTACTATACGTAAAGATTTTGTAGTTGTACGCATTCCTAAATCAACATTGATATTTCCAAATTCACTTCTTAAGAAATATAAATGTGCCATAGATTGGGATAAAGATGAGTTAAAAATTCCTTTTAATGGAAAGGATCACATTATTCTGGTTACAATACACAAAGTCAAGAATAAGCTCGAAGTAAATTGTGCTACTGCAACTCAGGGTGATAAGTCTCTAACATCTGATCAAATTCCACAGAAGGCAGATAGAGTTGAAGATAATAATGTACCATTCGACGAGTGGTGCGCTCCTGCGGATTTTAGCTTAGATTCTGCCAATCTGACTTTAAAAAAAATGCATGAGCTATGAGGAGTTAGAAAAATTGCTATATGCAATATTTGATTCCAATAATAAATTACTCAAACTCAATAAAAAGTTGCAGGTTTGCCAAAGGCAGTCACACAGTGATTATAAAAACGAATCTGATAACTTAAATGAAAAGATTACCAATATCGATATAGAGAAAGCAAAGATAGATTAGTTGGAATTCAAAATCCTTTCCGTTTCATGCTCAGCTTCTTTCATTTCTTTGCGATTTTACTCAATCAAAACATGTAGGTCACTCAACTTTCCCACTTTTTTTGTTGATTTATTAATCGTAGATTCGTCTTTAAAGAACCTGGCTGTAACAATATCAGATAAGTCAGAAATTCTAACAGACTTAGATCTTGATTTTCTATTTTAATCAGCTTATTCAAAGTGTCAATAGAATTTTCAGTTATACTAGCTTGGTCAATATTTGGTAAGTGTGATTCAGGTATAGGTAAATTCTGATCTGGAGGTATCATTAAGAAAGCTGAACTTTGAGTCTTCAACTTATCTGATATAGGCTGATGCCATTCAACCATATGAACTTCCTTCCCTCTCCAAATTTTATAGAAATGACTATTTGTCATAGGATATTTATTTCTTAACTTTTTCAAGATATCAGTTTTGGATTTTGCATCATGATATTGCATAATTCACTGAAGATAATGAGAATGCATCAGATCGCATACGTTTAACCATGTTGTTTTTATAATATTCGTAATATCAATAATATCAATAATATCAATAATTTATTAAGAAAAAAATATTTATGTTATATGCGTAATATGTATAGTATCGATAATCAGTACGCGTCATACACATAATACATATAGTATCAGTAATTAGTACGCATAGTAAGTATAATATACATAGTACATATAATATGTATAATATGGATATTTAGTATGTATAGGATGCTTGAAGAGCCATTGCTTTGCAATAAATATCTTATATAATATTAAGTTTCTCTGCGTTTTTTATTATAATATCTATTATTTGATATGACATTGTTATGGCTTGGAATTATTCTTAATTCTTTAATTTCTTAATTCTGATCATGTGACTCAACATAGATTGTAGAGATAGCAGAGATAGCAGAGTTCTCAGATATATCAACATTATCCACTATATCATATTTATCCGACATGTATAACATATCCCACATTGTAATAACTTAGCCATAAAT